GCCGACACGCGCCGCTCGACGGAGCGGAGCACGGCCCAGGGACCTGAGGTTTAGGGTTTAGGGTTTAGGGTTTTAGGGTTTAGGGTTTAGGGTTTAGGGTTTAGGGTTTAGGGTTTAGGGTTTAGGGTTTGGGGGTTCGGGGGTTTAGGGGTTTAGGGGTTTTAGGGTTTGGAGTTTAGGGTTTAGGGTTTGGGGGTTCGGGGGTTCGGGGGTTCGGGGGTTTAGGGTTTAGGATTTAAGGTCCAGGGGGTCAGGGGCGTAAGAGTTTAGGGGTTTGGGGCTCTGGGGTTGAGGGATTGTGGGACTTCAAGGATTAGGGTTGAGGGGTTTGGGATTTTAGGGTTGGGGGTTTAGGGGTTTAGGATTGTAGGATTTTGGTGTTCAGGGTTTTGGGGCGCAAGGCTTTGGGATTGGGGTGCGGGGTTTTTGGTTTCGGGGTTGCAGGGTTTAGGGTTCAGGGTTTAGGGTTTAGGGTTCAGGGTTTAGGGTTCAGGGTTTAGGGTTTTAGGGTTTGGGGGGTTTAGGGGTTTGCCGGGCTTCGGCATTCAACTCTGCCAATCTTGGGACTTGCAGGTTAGAGATTTAGGGTCAAGAGTTTAGGCCCGAATCCCTAGACCCGAGGCCCTCAAACACAGCATGTAACATTTCTGTGTAGGGTTTAGGGTTTAGGGTTTAGGGTTTAGGGTTTAGGGTTTAGGGTTTAGGGTTCAGGGTTTAGGGTTTAGGGTTTAGGGCTTAGGGCTTAGGGTTTGCTTGCGAGTGTAGACTGTTCAGGGAGTTGTTGTTGTTCCACTCATCATGGGGCGACAAGGAGCCGTCATGGACCCTAATGATTTTGGTTTAGGGTTTAGGGTTTAGGGTTTAGGGTTTAGGGTTTAGGGTTTAGGGTTTAGGGTTTAGGGTTTAGGGTTTAGGGTTTAGGGTTTAGGGTTTAGGGTTTAGGGTTTGGGGTTTGGGGTTTGGGGTTTGGGGTTTGGGGTCGGTTTAGGGTTTAGGATTTCAAAAAAGTCCTTAAACCCCCTTTTTCCTAGTTGCTGAGCTCCTTGGCCCAAGAAAAGCTGGCAAGTGTTGTAGGATTATATGCCCTAAGGAAGACTTTCGGTCAAAATTCTCTGGGACCCGAACCCTGCACAATTTCTATAAACCCTAAACCCTAAACCCTAAACCCTAAACCCTAAACCCTAAACCCTAAACCCTAAACCCTAAACCCTAAACCCTACATGCCCTAAAACCCAAGCGAAGGGTAAGGTTGCCTACTCGGCTACGAACTCCTGAATCCTGTCAACCGAAATACCTTTAAGGGTTTAGAGTTTAGGGTTTAGGGTTTAGGGTTCACCTTTTCAGAGCCCCAATAGGGGATAGGATTAGGGGACACTTGGGGATATAGACCCTCTGAAAAAGGTCCCTGTTTAAGAGAGCTAGAAGAGGGTGAAGAAGCCTTCTCCTACCTAGGAACAGCCCAAACAGCCCAAACAAACTATAAACCCTAAACCCTAAACCCTAAACTCTTGACACCAAACAGCCCTGCGTGACGCTGACAGCAGTCGGCCTGACTCTTTGCCATTGGGATCCAGGTCCTTCAGTGACTTATTAGGGTTTTGGGTTTATAGGGTTTAGGGTTTAGGGTTTAGGCGGGTTTCAGGGTCCTTCAGTGGGTTAGGGTTCTGGGTTTATAGGGTTTAGGGTGTCAGGGTCCTTCAGAGGGTTTAGGGTTTTGGGTTGATAGCGTTTAGGGCTGTTCGGATATGGGGCCCAGGGGAAACTTTAAGCCCTAAACGCCTGAACCTCCCTGAAAACCATGGGCCCTCAACCCAAGAAGAGCGGGTAGCTCTGAACTGGGGTCGCGCTGTACTCCTCCACCCTCGGTGGGAACTCCCAAACCCTAAAGCCTAAACCCTAAACCCTAAACCCTCAACCCTCAACCCTAAACCCTGAACCCTAAACTCTAAACTTCTCGCCCGGGTCTGCTGGTCTGGGTCACCCCTGGCTGGCCCACCCACGGCAAGCCTTCCAAACAAAGGGGAAAAATGTCTTTCCCCTTCCTGGTAGCCCAGCAACCATATTCTCATAAGGGCACCCAAAATCATTTTTATTCCTTATTGGGATTAAGTACCCTTAAACATGTCAAATGGTACCCAACTATGACAAAGCTGTCTTGTAGAAAAAATACTTCCTTGTGTTTAGCAGAAAACTCAGTCGAGATGATCGTTGCGGTGTCCCCGCAAATTGCGTAGATTCGGGGCTTGCGGGCTCCCGAGCGTTGCACAGAGCGAGCTCAGTTCAGAGCTTGAGGTTTAAGCAGGATTTGTGATTTAGGGTTTCGCACCATTCTTGTAGGATGATCACCAAAATCCCTGAACCCCTGCCGATCCTGCACGAGACCGTGAAAAAGATCCGTAAGGCCCCAAGCGGTCCACACTAATTAATCGCCAAACATACACCGAAATACCATAACTAATGATTACCCATACTAGAGCCCCATAAACCCTAAACCCTAAACCCCCCAATAAAGGGGCACTTTCAAGCGAGCGTCGACCCGAACTTTAGCAGGCGACGAGGCGTCGAGGTTCGCCTGTCGGCAACAACCCCAAAACTCAACGTATCCCCTGTTTAGGGTTTAGGCTTTCGAGTCTCGTCGGGTATAGGGTTTAGGGTTTCGGGGAGAGGGGTTACGGCCACACAGACTTTACTATCCCTGGATTGAGAGGCAAATCTTACATTGCGATAGGGATCCGAATAAGATAAGGACTTACAGGGTGGGGCCCCCTTACTATACTAACTGTAGTTAAGGGACTTATAACCTAACTTAGGGTCCTTATAACCCAATTTAGGGCCCTTAGAACTCTACTTATAACTAGGGGGCCCCACCCTGTAAGGCATATTAAGGACAAAGGCTTCCTTTGAGACATACTACAGTCTCTAGGGACTCCAGCACCTCAAGGGTTTAGGGTTTAGGGTTTAGGGTTTAGGGTCGAGGGTTAGGAACAGGGTTCAAAGTTTAGACGTTTAGACGGTTGAGGGAAACTCTCCCCTTACCATGTCTAAGCAGGCGTCATGTCAACTCTCCCAAGAACCCAACTCGACAGGCGATTACATAAAGAATTCCGCAAACTTGTGTGGCACTGTACTTGGAGGTTCATGGTACTTAGTAACCAACTATAACCGTACTTATAACCTATTTGGGGCACTTAAGGGGCTCACAAGTGGGTTATAAGTAGAGTTATAATGTCATTAAGGTTCCTGAACCTCCAAGTATAGTGTTTAGGGGGGAACAAACTAGCGGGGCACCTATTTTGGGGGCAACCGGACACAGTGTCATCGAGCCCCCAAAAGCCTGCTACATAATTAAGACCCACAAACTTATAGGGTGCTGAAGGGGATTCAAGGGGGTATGTAACCCAAGTTTCCCTAATACCCCCCACTACTCCGTGAGGCTGGGGTTTCCGCAAAGAGGTGGGTACCCGTGGAGTCGAGCTATTTGCGAAGCCCGAGCCCTGCTACTATTTGCTTCAGAACGCCCCCCCCCCCGCCCCTCCCCCGCCCCCCCTCCCCCCACAACAGTCTCCAGACTGCCCTTAGAAGGAAAACTGTTTTGGCTACTCTTGAGCAGGAGTAGCCCTAAAGCCTGATCTCTATACTGCCCTTAGAAGGAAATCTTTTCTTGGAGCTGGCTCTTAAGCACATAGCTTGGCTGCACTCAGAAGGGTAGCTAAAGATTAAACCTGTTGCTGCCCTAATAAAGTAAACCCCAAAAAGGGTAAGGATCTAAAGTTGCAGTAAAGCACCACAAAGATGATAGCCCTAAACCCTAAACCCTAAACCCTAAACCCTAAACCCTAAACCCTAAACCCTAAACCCTAAACCCTAAACCCTAAACCCTAAACCCTAGCCCTAAACCCTAAACCCTAAACAGGCCTCTACCAGGCTCCGGATGGCCGCACACTCCTCCGCCAGCGCACGTGGAGCAAACGTTGCAACGCGAAACTCCAAACTTGACAGCCCGGTTTAGGGTTTAGGGTTTGGGGTTTGGGGTTTGGGGTTTAGGGTTTAGGGTTTCGGGTTTAGGGTTTAGGGTTTCGGGTTTAGGGTTGAGGGTTTAGAGATTGGGGGTTTCCGAAAGTAGGGGTGCCTTGTTGGGGGTCCCTTTTGGGGGGCATTCTATCCTATTCGGGCCATAAAAAAGGGCACCCCTATTCTGGGAAATACCCAAATTTGAAACCCAAACCTAAAACCCAAAACCTCAAGCCTTAAACCCTAAACCCTAAACCTTGATCTCTAGGTAGGAGAAGCCCCTTCCCCTTAAGCCCTTAAGGGCCCCTCAACCCTATAGGTTTAGGGTTCAGGATGTAGGGCTTTAGGGTTTAGGGCTCAAGGGGTTGAGGGGTACTTGTAGTTTGATGAGACCCTAAGCGAAGCCTTGAACCCTGAGCCCTAAACTCCTGAACTCCTAAAACCCTAAACCCTAAACCCTAAAACCCTGGGATAACTCCTCGGAGGTCAAGAAGTCTTCGCACTCGTAGATTTGGGGCTGTTGGCCTCGAAGGGTTGTGGACCGGGTTTTGGAATTCAGGGGGTGTGCGGGCTTTCAGGTTTAGGGGTTTAGGGGTCTAGGGGTTCGGGGTTTAGGGTTTAGGAGTGTAGGGTTTGGGGGTCTAGGACTTGAGGGGTTCAGGGTTTTGGTTTGGGGTTTAGGGGGCTTGAGGGGTTATAGGTGCAATAACAGGTTTCCGGGGGCTGTGCTTGAGAGGCTGAATCCTAAGCCCCAAGCCCTAAGCCCTAAAGGCCCTAAACTCGTGCAAACACCTTGTAGTATGGTCTTTGGGCCCAGAAGCCCTCGAACCAAGGTCCGTCTAGCCGAGCACTAGCACATTTGTTTGGCAAAGTAGGCTCTTCGGCTTGCGAGGGTCAAGGAGAGAACCGGGTAAAAGAACTCAGGTTTATGGTTGGGTTCGCAATTTAGGGTCTCTCTTTTTTGGGGGGGGGGGGGGGGTTCTCTCCGATTAGGATCCTTGAGTGACGTGGTATCCATATTTAAGAGGACCCCGAAACCCTACGAAACCCTAAACCCTGAACCCTGAACCCTAAACCCTAACCAGGGCCACGGAGTCTGAGCTGAGGCTTCATCCGAAGCTGGAGGGCTTTGAGTTGCGAGTTTGGGGTTTTGGGCTTAAAGGGGCCTTTGGGGCTCTGGGACCCTTAGGGTTTAGGGTTTAGGGTTTAGGGTTTAGGGTTTAGGGTTTAGGGTTTAGGGTTTAGGGTTTAGGGCCTAGGGTTACAAACTCCAGCCGAGCCACACAGCAGGCGCCAAGTGGCTTCCCTGGCCACAGGCACGCCAGACAAGGCAACGTCGTCCACGCCATTGCACATGAGCCCTATACCCTAAAGCTGCGGTATGTGAACCAATATACCCTTTTAGGGCTCAATTGGTCCCCAAGAAAACCCTAAACCCTAAACCGCATGTCGCATCCAGGCACACGCAAGAAAGGAATCTGGAGACCTCCTCCATTAGGGCTGCCACTGAAAGCCTCAAAGCCTCAACCCGAAACTCTTAGGGCTTAGGGTTCGGGATTAAGGCACAAAATCCTGCAGGAATTCAAGGGTTTAGGGCACAAACCCTACCTGGGACTCTATTTACCTACAGTACAGTCCATCAAACTGTAGGTAAAGAGGTCCCAGGTAAGCACTAAACCTGGTGCCCCCACTACTGAAAGAAGACGTCACACACACAGACCATCGCTTGAGACGGCGGGCTGCCACAGTTCTGAGTTTCGGGGTTCAAAGGGTTTAAGGTTTAGGGGTTTAGGGTTCTCGTTTAAGGGGTCTGAAGTCTATGAGAGTCTGCAGCATCGACAGTGGCTTGGTGTCAGGGTTAAGGGTTTCGGGATAAGGGTTTGGGCCATTCCCCCTACTAGAAGCCCTTGGAAGGGGTTTGTGTAGAGTAGCTACCTTGATCCCCAGTTCCCTAAAAAGCTTAACTTAAGAAAGGCCCTCCGAAAAGCAGCCAACCATAAACCCCAAAACCCAAAAAGCCCGAAACCAAACCTTGCCCTGCCGCTTGAAAATCACCCTAAAAGCCAAAACCCTAAGCGCTAAACACTAAAACCCTAAACCCTAAACTCCTACCCAAAAGCTGGGGAAAAGGTAAATAAAAACACGCGCAGTGCACCCCCAATCTCCGGGTTTAGGGCTTGTAGGGTTTGTAGGGCTTAGGGGTTGTCGGGTTAGGGTTGAAGGTTAGGGTTGAGGGTTTAGAGTTTAGGGTTTTTAGGATTGAGGGTTGAGGGTTTAGGGTTGAGGGTTGAGGGTTGAGGGTTTAGGGTTGAGGGTTTAGGGTGCAGGCACGCTCCCTGGAAAAAAACAGTACATACTTTGTTGGGGCATAAGCAGCCATAATGGAAACCCAGAACCAAATATAGTATTAACGTATAGTGCTCCAAAACCCAGTATATTTCAGAAGGGATTACGATGTTAGGGGTACCTTTTTGCAGCTCCTTTTTTGTAAGGGTATCCTACTATTTGGGGGTCCATGAACCCTAAACCCTAAACCCTCAACCCTCAACCCTAAACCCTCACAACCCCTAATCCTAAACCCTAAGCCCTAAACCCTAAACCCTAAATTGCTAAACCCTTATATAACCCTTCGTAAACTCCCGTTTGGGGGTCTCCGGTGGCCTTTGCCCCTGTAGGACACAGACCAGTGGTCCTCGTCTCTTTCGGGGTCCATGCCCTTGTCTGCTTGCTTTCGCGCCAAGCGCTCCTGACAGGAGAGATCCTAGCCCTAAACCCTAAACCCTAAACCCTAAACCCTAAACCCTGAACCCTGAACCCTGAACCCTGAACCCTGAACCTACGAACCCTGCACGGCAAACCGTTGCGGTACGCCTGCTGGTATGTTGACCTCTTCAGCTTGTCAACCTGAGAACTTAACTTGCTTAAACCTGAACCCGCAACCCCAAATACTGTACCCTTAGCCGAAAATTCGCGACACTTCCCCTGGTGGGCCTAAACCCTAAACCCTAAACCCCCCTAAACCCTAAACCTTATACCCTAAACCCTAAACCCTCATCAAAATGGGAGTGCGCTGCGGACTGAGCCCTAGAAGCTTAAACTTGGTGTCCGCGAGCTGCTTTAACTTCGGCTCCCCGACAGAAAGTGGGGTTTATAGGGTTTAGGTGGTTTAGGGTTTAGGGTTTCGGGTTTAGGGATAAACAAGAGGATTCCACACACGAGAGATCCTCAAAAAGGGACCCTCGGTAAGAGCAACCCCTCCCATGTGACACCTTGGCTTCGTCGATTTCCCGCTTCTTGCTGTTGGCCACAACCTTGGCACAGACAATGTGACGGTTTACGACAGCAGGGGACCCGGGTCCCCGAATATATATATATATATATATCCCCGAATGCTAGGGATTCCCTTAAAATAAAGACCCCAAACAAGGCCCCCTGACTTCGGGCACCCCCATGTTGGGTTTAGAGGCTTGGGATTTTGAGTTTGGGAAGTTGAGTTGGAACCGAGAGCAAGGCGCATTCCGCGTCGACCCCGCGGCACGCATGAGCCGGGCATGCGTGTGTCAATCTACTCTACCTGAAGGCTCTGGCGTAGTTCCTTATTGGTTTACATATACGGGGTTCTGGTATACTGACCCAAAAAGGTACCACATAGGAGCCTTTAGGTATGCAACCGAAAGCGAAGGGCAACCTTGAACAAGCCCATCCTGAAAGCAAGCAAGTGCTTCCGGAGTGCCAGGGCATCTTTCATCTCCGACCTCTTCTCGCGGAGCTCCTGCTAGTCAGTGCCGTTCAATTTGCAAGGCTATTGTTTTTGTCCGATACCACATGGCCCGGAAGGATATCATAGTTCCAAAGATGAATGCCAAAAGATCAAGCTCTGGCAAACAGTCCTTGAACAAAGGCCATGAGAAGGCCCCCTGGGCAGATAGTGCTGCTATGGCCACGACCCAACCCACACAGCTAGATTCAATACATATCCTCAAACCAAGGGAATTAGAAGCACCCCCCCCAAAAAAAAAACAAAAAAAAACAATACATAAATAATCATAATAAGAATAATAAAGATCGTGAACTCTAAGGATAGTTACATGCTCCCTTACCATCTATGAAGCCCCTTGGGTTCGCAGTTCGCAGATGTGGGCTCCTGTTTGTTCTTCTCGAAGGCATCTTCGAAAACCTCCCGGGCGCAAGATGAGAGGTGTTGAACAAGGAGACCCCGGTGGTTTGGGTCTTTGGAGTCTAGCTAGGGTTTAGGGTTTAGGGTTTAGGGTTTAGGGTTTAGGGTTTAGGGTTTAGGGTTTAGGGTTTAGGGTTTAGGGTTTAGGGTTTAGGGTTTAGGGTTTAGGGTTTAGGGTTTAGGGTTTAGGGTTTAGGGTTACGGTTTCGGGTTTCGGGTTTAGGGGTTTAGTGTTTCGGGTTTTGGGTTTAGGCGTTAGCTTCCAAGAGCCTCCAAGATTTCAGGAGGCCGGAAGAGGAAAGGGACTGGCCCCACCCGGCTTGTTTTGACAGAGGGCCCATTAGGGTCTAGTAGACCCTAACCCGGAACCCTGAACACCAAGCCCCAAAACCCCAAACCCTAAGTCCCAAAACCCCAAACCCCAAGTCCCAAAACCCCAAACCCCAAAACGACAAAACCCCAAAACCCCAAACCCCAAATCCCTAAACCCCAAAAACCCAAACCCCAAACCTCAAACCCTAAACCCTAAACCCCAAAACCCCAAACTCTAAACGCAAAACCCCAAATCTCCAAACCCTAAACCCCAAACCCTGAACCCCAAAACCCTGAACCTCAAGACCCCAAACGCCAAAACCCCAAAACCCCCAAACCCCAAGCCCCAAACGCGAAAACCCCCAAACCCCAAACCCCAAACCCCAAACCCCAAACCCCAAACCCTAAACCCTAAACCCTAAACCCCAAACCCTAAACCCCAAACAAACGCTAAACCCTAAACCCCAAACCCCAAACCCTAAACCCCAAACCCTAAACCCCAAACCCTAAACCCCAAACCCTAAACCCTAAACCCCGTTGAAACCGGCGCCTGGCCATCCCGGGCCTTCCACTCGGCGAAGACCACCTGGGAACCAGTTGGGGTGGGAGGGGGAAGGGGGGGGATGGGGAGGGATTAGGGGTTAAGGTTTAGGGTTTAGGGTTTAGGGTTTAGGGTTTAGGGTTTAGGGTTTAGGGTTTAGGGTTTAGGGTTTAGGGTTTAGGGGCGAAGTTGCAGGAGCCTTTGCTGTTTGGACTGTGGAAGAGCACGAGCAAGCGAGAGAGAGTCCGTCGCCTGCCTCTGAATCCGCGGGTTAAAACCACCCTAAAACCACCCTTAAACAAAACCCTAAAACCCCCCCAAAGCCCTACCCCCTCCCCCCCCCCCAAAGCCCCCTAAAGCCCCCTAAAACCCGCCCTAAACCCGCTAGAGAAGCATGACGGGTAAGTACAAGTTTGTCGGGCACCCAAAACGTACTGTCGGATGTTTCTTCTTGTCGGGGATTAGGCACGCTCTCCCCCAACACCCACACCCCTATCAACCCTACAAACCTTCCTTCCTTCCATAGAATAAAGCGTGCGATCGCCTGTGCTGGCCACATGTGGGTGCATTACCAAACCTTATAAGCCCCCAAAGAAACCAAACCCCCAGTACCCTTATAAAACCCCTACTTTATGACCCCAAAGAACCTAACCCTAAACCCTACAACGCCTAAAATTGCCGAAATAAGAAAACCCCTAACCCTAAGAACTCTAATACCTCCACAATGATAGTACGTACCCCTAAACCCTAAACCCGAAAAAAAACCAAATACCCTGAACCCAAACCCTGAAACCCCTAAAAACCCGCAAACCCTTGCCCCTAAATAACCCCAATTCCCCTCGAGCTGGCCTGCTTCCCCCTAAGCCCTAAACCCGAATAACAAGTACCCCCAGAGCCTGAATTAAAACCCTTCAACACCTAAATATCCCTAAACCCTAAAACCCCGAAGGCCCCTAAATGCCCCTCTATGCACAATCCTCCTCCAAACAAGCCCTAAACCCTAAACCCTAAACCCCCTCAAAACTGGCCTGCTTGTCTGGTGCCTTTTCGAGGTCTCCGGTCTTGACTTGGCTTCGCGGCCTTGGTAGCAGCTGAGGGCCCAGGGTCTGAAGGGTTTAGGGTTTAGGGTTTAGGGTTTAGGGTTTAGGGTTTGGGGTTTGGGGTTTGGGGTTTAGGGTAGGGTGATGAGATGCTGGCCCTACCTTTCATAAGTCCTGTAAGTTGAGTCGGGGTTTAGGGGTTAAGGTCGGGTTTGGGGTTTGGGGTTTGGTCTAGGGGTTTAGGGTTTAGGTTTAGGGTTTAGGGTTTAGGGTTGGGGGTTGAGGGTTTAGGGTTTAGCCTGGCTCAACCTTCGTTCATGAAACTACGAGGGGTGCCCGTCAATGGCTGACTCTAAGAGATCCCCTTCTGCAATCTAAACCCTAAGCCCTAAACCCCTGGTTCCGAAACCCAACACCCTGAACCCTGTTTTGGGCGAACAACCCTAAACCCTAAACCCTAAACCCTAAACCCTAAGCCCTAAGCCCCAAACTTAGGCTTAGGGGTTGGAGTACCCTAAATTCAAGTAGGCTATCGGGCTGGCTTTTTCAGGAGTGCATCTGGTGCAAGAAGACGAGGTTGCTTCATGACTCATGACGGCGGTTTAGGGCTAAACCCTCGGCCCTAGATCCCTTAACAACAGTCCCAACAAAGCGGTTTTTAGGGGAGGGATATGAGGGCAGGACAATGAGAGTTTTTAAGGCGTTTTAGCAACTTGCCCCCCGGCCCCCCGGCCCCCGCCCCCCGATGGCCGATGGTAGGAGAGCTATGAGGTCGTTCTTGTTCAGCTTCGTGGGGATCTTATGCAGGCGCGCCGTGGCGCGAAGCCTTTAGTAATTTGCGAGGCTTCAATGTTTCAAGGACAAAGACTCGGAGCATTTCCAAGTCTGAGACTGAGCCCCAGAACCTAAACCCTAGTAAGCCCCCCTTGTTTTCTAACCTCAGTCGAACCCCCAAACCCGAAACCCTAAACCCTAAACCCTAGAAGCGTAAACACATTGCCTTGGCTCCCGAGCTCAGCTCCAGTACCCTCCTCGTCCTCGTCACCTGCCCCAAGCCCCCGCGTGCCTCAACCCATAAACCCTAAATCCCAAACCCTACACCTTAAACCCTAAACCCTAAACCCTAAACCCTAAACCCTAAACCCTAAAGGCGTCCCTAACCCCGAAATCCCAAACCCGAAACCCTAAACTTGAGAGACTTCGGCGGCGGATCTAAAGTCTAAGCTTGGCAGCCTAGGAACCTGACCAAACAGGTTACCGCAATTCGGTGAACCACCCTATCTAGGGATGTAGATTAGGTTTAGGGCTTAAGGTTTATAGGGTTGTATGCCTCTAAGGCAGGGATGCCTGCTATTAGGGGCAATTGACCAGCCTCGTGGAGCGAATCAAAAGGGCCAGACCCGAAGAATAGCACCAGCATGGTTTAGGGTTGGGGATTTAGGGTTCAGGGTTTAGTGGGTGACCCTAAACCCTAAACCCTAAACCCTACACCCTAGACCCTAAACCCTAAACCCTAAACCCTAAACTTTCCCTAAACCCTAAGCCCTTCATTTGGGGTAGCTCATTCAAGAGATTAGCATTTGGGTCCCAGAATCGAGGCTCCGGGGGTTCAGGCGAGGGTTGAGGGTTTAGGGTTGAGGGTTGAGGGTTGAGGGTTCAGTGACTGGCTGGTACGAAGCACTGATTTGTCGGCCTTGTCTGTGCGTTGCTACAGCTCCGCCTAAGTAAGACGTCCTGACAAGCATGAAGTTCAAATCAAGTTGACCATTCGAAACTCAGCATAGCCTCACTGACTGAGCTCAAGTCGCGCCCAAATGGGACGTGAGAACCATCCATCGTGAGCCTGAAATGGGACCTTCTGATGGAAACTCCTTAGAGCCTTGGCCTTGTCCCAGGACAAAGAGGAGTCGGCTGCGAGCTTCTGCCAGGTTCGACAGTAAACCCCCCGCCTGTGTGCGTCCAGTCCCTGAGCACCGCCTTCCGGTCGCTTCCAGCAATACTCACACGTACGCACTGCGTGTCCGCCGCGTCGGTCAGGGTTTAGGGTTCAGGGTTCAGGGTTTAGGGTTTAGGGTTTAGGGTTCAGGGTTCAGGGTTTAGGGTGTAGGGTTTAGGGTTGATGGTTGGAATGTTCCCCCTTATACTAACAGCCCTTGATAGGTATTATAGTACCCCCCCCCATTAGAATCCCTATTCAGGACTGTTAGCATAAGCAAGAACATCCCAAGTTGTGGGTTTGGAGATTCACTGGCTTCAGTCTGCAGAAGACCGGCTTCAGTGGTAAGGACTATTTGGGGTTTCGGGCTAAGGGGTCATTGGTCTGGGATAGCCGGAAGGCACCAAAAAAATGTAAACTTTTAGTTCGATAGGGGATTATAGTATCCCCAAAAGTGTAAAACCCTAAACCCTAAACCCTAAACCCTAACCCCTAAACCCTAAACCCTAAGTGCGCCCACGCAGCTACTAAGTTGAATATCGTGATGCAACTCAACAAGCTGAAGGGTCGCCCTACCCGAAACCGCGAAGCTTTCAAAAACTAAACTTGGCTACGCTCAGAAGGGTAGCTAAAAATTAAAATTTTAGCTGCCTTATTAAGAAACCCAATAAACCCAAAAAGGCTAAGGATCTAAAGTTACAGTGAAGTACCATTAAAGTAAAGAGCGTTTCTAAACCTTACAAACCCTATACGCCGTAAACACCCCGTAGGCCCATGGACCCTGCAAACCCTGCAAGAACCTTACAAAACCTAACGACCCCCAAACCTTATCAACCTAATCCTTGTGAAGCAGGCTCCAGGCCAAAGCGCCTGGCAGTCCGGGTGATGAAGCCTTGGCCGTAGGGTTTAAGGTTTTAGGGTTTTAGGGTTTAGGGTTTGGGGTTTGGGGTTTAGGGTTTCGGCCTGCAGCTGTGGGCTTAAGGATTATGGCTTAGGGCCTAGGGTTGAAGGTTGAGGGTCCCCACACCCTACACCTTACGCCCTACTCCCTGAACCCTAACCCTAAACCCTAACCCTAACCAGAAAACCCTAACCGCAATTTACTATTAAATGAGTGAACGATGAAAAGGGGCTTATTAAAAACAAAAAAAACTTATTCTTTCGCCCTTTTTGCATATTATTTTTCATGATCACTTGTTATCTTTGCTTTTACTTCGTTCTTATCACACGTTACGTTCATCATGCCTTGCCATTTTCATATTAATACTCTCTCCACCCCCAGGAAGTGATAAAAGGCTTTAACTTTAGCTTGGAGAGGTTATCACTTGGCCTTGAATGAGCGGGACTTTGGCGGATTATTCACTTCCCTGCTGCCCCCTGTGAATAGAACCTTATTCCGAAAAACCTGACCCCTGAACCCCAAACCCTACTAGGCCCTGCACCCTGAACCCTTACCCTAAGGCTCCAAGTAGCCCAAAGTAGGTACTATTTTACAGACTTTAGACCCCAAAAAGTAGGTATTATTTATACACTCGGAGCCCCAGGGTTAACCCTAAACCTGCTGCCTCATTTTGGCGGAATTAACCATATGCCCCCGCATACCGCTTCAGCCTTCATCATTGGGTAGATCCCCCAAAGGCTCCAAGCAGGCCCTAGTAGGCATACGATTTAGGGTAGGGTTTCGGGCTCTCAACCCTGATTCTTCGTAGGGAATGAGGGAATGAGGTACCCTCTTTCATCCCTGAAAGGGTATATATAGGCCCCGAAGTCCCTCACTCCCTACTAAGAACCAAGGGGTATAAACTCAACTAAGCCCTACACAAGCCCTGAGCCCTAAACCCTAAACCCTAAACTCGAAAGCCTTCGCAAGCCCTTGAACCCTAACCCCTAAACCCTAAACCCTAAACCCCAAACCCTAAACCCTAAACCCTAAACCCTCCAAGCCCTGGTGGCCTCCTGTGGAGGCCGTGAGTTGGAGGGGGCCACGCCGACCTTCGGACAGTTTACGGGGCTTCGGGTTTAGGGTTTATTGGGGGGGGGGGGGGGGGGAGTAGGGTTTAGGGTTTAGGGTTTAGGGTTTAGGGTTTGGGGTTTAGGGTTTGGGGTTTAGGGTTTAGGGTTTATGGAGGTTAGGGCTAAGGGCTTCGGAAATGGGGTTTAGGGTTTGGGGCTTATCGATGAATCACGGCTTTTTGGGGGGGTTGCCAGGGCTTATGGGGGGCTTCGGGTTAAGGGTTTTTGGTGGCTTTTGGGGTTTCTAGGGTTTATGGGGTTTAGGCTTTAGGTTTTGCTTGGGTTTGTGGGTTTTTTAGCTCGTAGGGTTTAGGGGTGCAAAATTGGGACCTCATAGGGTATGTGTAGGGGTCAGAGTGTCTGGAAGGTTTGCAGGGCTTCTACAGGGTGGGGCCCCCTTACTATACTAACTGTAGTTAAGGGACTTATAACCTAACTTAGGGTCCTTATAACCCAATTTAGGGCCCTTATAACTCTACTTATAACTAGGGGGCCCCACCCTGTAGGGTTTGTGGGGTTTCTAGATTGATGGGTTTATGGGTGTATTGGGCACATTGGGTTTATAGGTTGGCGGGGGGCTAGTAGAGTTGATGACGCTTGTAGTGTTTATTGGGGTTTCTGGGGCTGCTGGGGTTTCTCGTGTTCGAGGTTTGTAGAGTTTAAAGGGTCTTTCGAGCTTCAGGTTCTTGTGGGTTTTGGTTGTTGAGTGTTTAAGGATCCAAACCTCTTGCTTGTTCGTGGGTTATGGGTATAAACTCTGATTAAAGCCTTGTAGAAGCTCTGGGGTAGCCTACAATATAGGGCTTAGGGTTCTTTCGACGAGGCTTGCGCTGTCTCCGCCCAGCGCAGGCAACAGGCAAGCAGCAGCAAAAGCAGCAACTCCCCCCCCCCTGGGGCAGAAGCAAATACTAAACCACGAAAGCCTAAACTCCTAAACTCCTACACCCTATACGCTTGGGGATTAGGGTTTAGGGACCCACGAAAGCCTAAATCCTAAACCCTATACGTTTGTGGAGTAGGGTTTAGGGACCCTAAGTTCCGGAACACCTAGGCTGCTAACCCCTAGATCCGAAACAGCCGAGCCCTAGACCCGAAACTTACCCCAAGTCACTCTTATTTCTGGACTGAGGCCGCTGCAGCAATGCCCTTGCCCTCCACATCCTCGCCAACCTCCCCTGGGTGAGAGGTTTCGGGTTGGGGGGGAGGAGGGGGGGTTGGGGTCCATTTGCAGGATTGGCTGCCGACGGCTTGCGGAAGCCTAACTGCAAGTAACACTATCCCAAGTAGGAGGCAAACTAGCCCTAAACTAGTTGCTGCACCCTGTTTTTTATATAGCCTCACCCGACCCCTACACCCTAGACCCTTCTTGCCCTGAAAAGCCACAGCTGCTAAAGACGGCGCGCAAAGCTGTCAAGGCTTGCAGAGCAGACGTCGCAAACCCTAAGCTCCAAACCCGTTAGGGTGTGGTTTAGGGTATCCTAACCCCAACCCTAGACTTCCTAAACCCTAAACCCTAAACCCCTAAACCCTAGAAACCCTAAACCCTAGAAACCCTAAACCCTAAACCCTAGACTCCCTAAACCCTAAACCCTAAACCCTAAACCCTAAACCCTAAACCCTAAACCCTAAACCCTAAACCCTAAACCCTAAACCCTTCATCCCCCGCCTTCATGGGGCTCGGCCCCGGTCGCTGCAGCACCAGCGCCCTCGGCCGCCTGGGACGAACATAGCAGAGGGAGTCAATAGAGGGTTTAGGGTTTACCGTTTAGGGTTTAGGGTTTAGGGTTTAGGGTTTAGGATTGTTCCCCCTTACCCTGGGGCTCCAAGTGTATAAATAATACCTACATTGGGGTCTAAAGTCTGTAAATAGCACCTAGTTTGGGCTATTTGGAGCCTTAGGGTTAGGCTAACAGTCCTTCATAGGGATTCTAGTCCGCCCCGAGTATAATGCCTCTTAAGGCCTGTTAGTGGGGGTCTCGTAGAGAGCCGTTGACCGGCACCCCTCGTAGTTTTATGAACGCTGGTTGAGCCAGGCTAAACCCTATCCTCAACACCCAACCCCCAACCCTAACCCCTAAACCCTGAACCCCTACAGGGTGGGGCCCCCTAGTTATAAGTAGAGTTATAAGGGCCCTAAATTGGGTTATAAGCACCCTAAGTTAGGTTATAAGTCCCTTAACTACAGTTAGTATAGTAAGGGGGCCCCACCCTGTAGCACGCTGCCCGAACCGTCTACATTAAACAACACGTTCATGCCCCTAAGCCCGTACGTTTGTAGGTGTCAAGGCTTGTCGCAAAGACGGTCCCGGTAGACGAGACAATTTGTTGGCTAAAGCTGCCTATTCGGGGGGGGGGAAGGGGGGGGGAGCAATTCCCTAAACCGAAAAACCGAAAACCCTAAACCCTAGACATTTTTGAGTAACTCGACCTTGAAGGTATGAAAACCGGAAACCCTCAAAACGCTCCAAAATGCTCCAAAACCTTGAAACCGCAAACCCCTCCTGCAACTCCCAAGCCCCTAGCAGCCCCGAGCCTCTAACCCACAGACCCATCGCGGACCCAAACCCAAGCCCAAAATCTCAACCCGAAACCCTGAACCCGAAACCCATAAACACCCATCAACCCATAAAGCCTACACCTTAGCCCTAAAGACAAAACCCTAACCCTAAACCCCAAACCCCCTAAACCCAACACCCCATAAACCCCTACAAATCCTATCAACCTATGAACCTCCAAACCCTACAAACCCTATAAACAACTGCAAACCCTATAAACGAATTGCTTAAACACGTCCCCCAAAAACAAATCAAATATTCTTCCTCATAAGGGTGATCTAGGGCCTAGGGGTTATTAGTTTTCTATTTGTTGAGGAGTTTTTAGGCGAAGTGTAGTATTCCCATTTTGGGGATTATGTTGTGTTTCCTCCCTTTTTTTTTTGGGGGGGGGGGGGGGGTTCTTAAGCCCCAAACTATACACCCCCATAAATCCATATCTATAAAACCCTGTAAAACCCTAGAAAACCCTAAGACCTCTAAAACCCTCAAAAAATCCCATAAAACCCTACAAAACCCTATAAACCCTAAACCGTAAACCCCAAACCCTCAACCCCAAACCCTCAACCCCAAACCCTAAACCCCAAACCCTAAACCCTACAAAAGCCCAAAACTGCAACCGACCGTCCTCGGCGTCGCCGCCCGCGGCCGGCGCCGCTTGGATGGGGCGGTTGAGGAGCTCGGTGCCTTGGAGGGGCTTGGAGGGGCTTAGAGGGGCTTAGAGGGGGTTTAGGGTTTAGGGTTTAGGGTTTAGGGTTTAGGGTTTAGGGTGTAGTGAAAGGGGCTATCAGCGTTTCAATAAAGGCTAAGGGGCTTAGTAGGGTTGAATCGTGTGTATATGGGGCTTTGGTGGGTTTGAGGCTTTGGCTATGCTCCGTCTGTATCGGCCCGACCCTAGCCGCAGGTTTCCAACATAACCAAGCTCGCTGACCGCAAAACCCATAAACGGGCCCCCAAGAAAACCTTTTAGCCTCAAACCCTAAGCCCTAAACCCTAAACCCCAGACCTTAAACCCCAAACCCTAAACCCTAAACCCTAAACCCTAAACCCTAAATCCCAACCCGACCCTCAAGCCATCCCTTTCCCAGGCCCCCTTCAGAGGCCCCGACGCAGGTCCTGGTAGAGCTTCCGGAAGCAGGTGAAGGACTCGTAGACCATGCGCAGACCTCGGGATGCCATCAGTACTCCATGCTTTTTTAGGGTTTAGGGTCTATTTAGGGTTTAGGGCTTAGGGCTTAGGGTTTAGGGTTTAGGGTTAGGGTTTAGGGTTTACGGTTAAGGGTCTAGCGAGTCTAGCGTTTAGGGTTTGGGGTTTAGGGTTTAGGGTCCATACCTCGAAGAGGACCTTTCGAAGCGGTCTTGAAGGGCCTTCAGGAACGCTGAAACTCAAAAACCAAGCCAAAACACCCCCCCCCCCCCCCCCCCCCCGAGGCGCTAAGCCCTAAGCCCTAAGCCCTAATCCCTAAGCCCTAAGACCTAAACCCTAGCCCTAAACCCTAAACCCTAAACCCTAAACCCTAAACCCTAAACCCTAAACCCTAAACACCTTCAGTGAGGCCCTGGCTGGTGACCTCAATCTCCTGCACTTCCCCCTCGAGGTACATCTGCACCTGGTAGGGCTTAGGGCTTAGGCCCGAAACCGCCTTTTTCATGAATGATCATGCGTTTTGGAAGTTCGTTGATGCTCTTTTCTGGTGTGCGTGTATGTGTGGGTGGTGTGCTTGCAGTTGCTTGTCTCAATGCGCCCCAGCACTGCGAACTTCCAGATGTTACCCTAGAAATGACCTAAACACTACCACGATTGAGCCCGAAACCCTAACCCTAAACCCTAAACCCTAAACCCTAAACCCTAAACCCTAAGCCCTAAACCCTAAACCCTAAACCCTAAACCCTAAACCCTAAATCCTAAACCCACCCAAAAGCCTACGACCTGCCCCGCACCTTGGCTTCGAGCTCCTTCTGCTCGTCTGGGGAGTACTCCTGTGATGACGGGGGGCTTACGGGGTTTAGGGTTTAGGGTTTAGGGTTTAGGGTTTAGGGTTTAGGGTTCAGGGTTCAGGGTTTAGGGCTACCTAGTTCATTTTTGGCATAGTATTAAAGATGTAAACTTCTCTTCCTTGTTGAGTTTAAGTACCCTTAACAATGTAAAATGTTACCCCACTATGACAAAGGTTTCGGCCTTAGGGTCGGGGTGGCTTGGGGTCTAAGAGGCTCCAAGCCATTGTTTGGGGGTGTAAGGTCGACGGCATAGCCTCTTGTGCCAAACTCCTGGGCCGTGAAACTTAACCCTACATAGAGTTGAGCAAACCATGAAGATACCAGCGGTTCAGGTCGAGTTCCCACTGTTAAGATCCTTAATCCTATCCCGAAGCCCTAAACCCTAAACCCTTAACCCCAAACGGGGGGTACCCGACTCCAGGAAAGTGCAACCCACCCCACCCCCTCACCCACCACCGCTACTCCCACCTCCCCGCACAATTATTACTCTTATTATTCCTTTTGTTTCTATTAGTATTCGGCTTATTATTATTACGATCTTTATTACCATGATTATCGTTACTATTATGACTATTACTATCATTATTGTTCTCACCTCCCCCCCCCCCCCCCCACAGTAGCCCTGACGTCGGTGGTTTGTGGCTGGGGGTGGCGGCCTTAGCCGGAGGCTCTTCAAAATTTGGGTTCAGACAACTATCCACAGGAGCTGTTAAGGGGAGTCTCCGAAACTTTGTGTCCCCTTGGTGGGTATTCCTGCAATGTAGGTTACAAGAGTTTTTAGGGGTATATCGTTGGGGGACCCATGTCTAGGCTACACCTTAACCCCAACACGCTCAACCCTCCACCATAAGCCATCCCTGAACCCTATGCCCTAAACCCTAAACCCTAAACCCTAAACTCTAAGCCCTAAACCCTAATTCCTCAGCCACAGCAACACGTCCTCGTACTGCACCCGACTTCTACCGGCCAAGGTGTCATGCATAGCCAGCTCCTGACATGCAGGGCTTACAGGACTGGGAGTTGTATTTTATGTATGTTTTTTTTGTTATTTTCTTATTATTTATGTGTATATATATATATATATGTTTTTGTGTTTTTTTTTTTTTGGGGGGGGGGTGAGGGTTGCGTAGGGGAGCTTTGGGAGCTTAGTTCTTGGGGGATTTAGGACTTGGGTTTTACGAGTTAGGGTTGAGGGCTTAGGGTTTGGCATTACGTACTCAGGACTTCGGACTCCATTCGGGACAAGAGAAGCAAAGGTGTTCGGTGGTGGTTGATTCTCCTAAACCCTAAACCCTAAACCCTAAACCCTAAACCCTAAACCCTAAACCCTAAACCCTAAACCCTAAACCCTAAACCAACTGGCAGCACTCTTTCCTTTTTCACCTGAGTCAGATCTTCATCATCCCTGAGTGTGAGATTTTCACACCCATTGGATCTATCAGGGTTCCCCCTTATACTAACAGTCCATAATAGGGATTGTACTTGGCTACACTCAGAAGGGTAACTAAAAAACAAAATTTTAGCTGCCTTATTAAGAAACCCAATAAACCCACAAAGGCTAAGGATCTAAAGTTACAGTAAAGTACCACAAAGTCTGTAGTAGGGGAAGCTATAAGCCCTATCAAGGACTGTTAGTATAACTATAAGGGGAAACATCCCAACCAGGTAGCCCTAATGATGTGGCCCCGCTGGATATGGCCAGTTGCGGCGCACAAAATGCTCGATGGAGTTTCGAGCCATCACCGCGCGACCTTGCAACAAATTCTCTCTTACACAGGGGTTTAAAAGAGACTCGTGCATAGCATGGCTGCCTACGCTCACGCTTTACACGGGCGATTCTCAAATTCATGGTCCTCTCCGAAACACGAAACCCTAAACCTCTAAACCCCCAAACCCCTAAGCCCGAACCTTCAAACTCTAAACCCCCAATGAAGCCCTTTCAAGCGACCACCGAATTTCGAGAAACTCCCCCCATGAGGGCCGGCGGCCGTGCATTCAGACTCCCATGAGTTCCCTGAATGCAGGCGGAAAAAGTCGAAACTCAAGGCCTCAAGGCGAGGCCCTTAACCCTAAACCCTAAACCCTAAACCCTAAACCCTACACCCACGAGGCAGGTGCGCTCAGTTCAGGTCCACGGTATGTGAGATGAGGGCGTTGTGAGCCTGCTTCTTAACATCCTGAACCTGTTCTGCCACGTGCTCCCGGATGTAGCCGTAGCTACACCTTGGTTGCTGAGTTCATAAGCCCCCCAAAAAATGCACACGTTCAGTTCTGTAGGGATTATAGTATCCCGAAAAGTGTAAAGTCTACTCATTCAGCTACTAAGACACCAAGCAAGTGCTCCGCCCACGCCCTGGACCCCATCAAAAAGACCAGTGACTGTGGCAGCGATTCTTGAGGTGCAGGCATAAGGGACGAGCGTGGTCGATCCGCAGCCACTTGCTGCACCGGAGAGGTATGTGGCAATCTGCCCGAGGTCTGCAAGAAGTGAGCCAATGTGTTCTGTGCACACATAGCGCTGGTAGTTCGTGGGGAACTTGGGGCACTTTCCTGGCTCTGTAGCAAGGCTGTTCAGCTCGAAGCTCGCCTTGGCGAGGTAGATCATTGCCTGCCCGATGTTGTTGAGGCATGCTGCTAGAACTTCGGGCTTGCGATCCGGATTCACCGGCTTTGAGTACGGAATCTCACCGGATGTGGGGTCTGCACACTGGATCGCAATGTCACTCAAGGCTGCAGCAGACTTCGTAAGCCCGGAAGTCAGCACGCTGATGCTCATACTGCACCTTGAGGGATAGTTGGAACCCTTCGGGATGTTATTGGGAGACGGGCAGGTGGTGACCGTGTCGGAGACGTACTGGCTAACCGCCAGGAAGCTCGAGACAATGCCGTTGATCTGTCCGGCGCAGGTCATGCGCGCTTCTTCAACGCTCGCACCCGCAACGGAGGCCTGCGGAACGTTGAAAGCCAAGCGCCGCTTGCTGGCCCTACCGGCCTTTCCTGGTTCATAGTTGGGATAGTAATAAAAATTTTAAAATTTTATTCTTATTGAGTTTAAGTACCCTTAAAAATGTAAAATGTTATCCCACTATGACAAAGTCTCTGGGAAGCTCGCCCAGGCGACGATTACCGGTCCGTACCCTCTCAGCCCCTTTCTCTGGGCTCTCTGGTGCAGCCGGTGTGGGGAGGTTGCAGACGTGGATTGCAGCCTCTAAGGACAGCAAAGCAGACATGAACTTCAGAGAGGCGAGCACGGCGTCGCACATGCAGCTGCTCACTCGAATGAACATGTCCTTGCTGGTCTCTTCGGTAATCGTCAGCGTGCCATGCTGCCAGCTGAATGTCTTCTTGAAGCCCAAGTTACGTGCGATCATCTCCGTCTCCTTCTGCCTCTGGAATAGGGGCCCAAGGGGCGGCAGCGCTACGACATCAATGCCGTGACGCTTCATCTCGGCGTCTGTGAGATTGCTCAAAAGCCTCACCTTCTGGAACAAAGCCACCTTCTTCCTTACTGCTGGGTAAGTAGGCAATGAGGGAATGGGGTACCCTATAGACTCCCTTTAAGGGTAGACTATAGGGGGAATATACGGTACCCCATTCCCCTCAGTCCCTACTAACCAACTGCAAGCTTCATGATCTCAGCCTGGTCCTGGAATGAGATGCCCTCCGCCGGCCAGAAACGCCAGCCTGCCACGCCGGCTCCAAGCACCTTACTGTGGGTTTCTGGGGAAGGAGAGGGAATGGGGTAACCCTATATCCCCCTATATGTATACCCTTTAAGGGATTCTATGGGGCACCCTCAACCCTAAACCCTATATCCCCCGATATGTATACCCTTTGACCTGGACTAACCAACAGTAAGGCACGAGGAGTGTCAGGGCAGGCGCCAAGACTTTCGGCCCTCGCCACTGGGTCGTGGGTCGGACCGACTCGGTGATTTCCACCAGGAGCCTGGGGTTTAGGGTTTAGGGTTTAGGGTTTATACGGTTTAGGGTTTAGGGTTTAGGGTTTCGGGCCTGGCGTCTTCCAGAGGCTCGGAGGCCATGGGCGCGCGCTGCTCGGCCAGCCGAGGACCCAGAGCACCCCCCCCCCCTGCCCCGCCCCCCGGCGAAGGGGGGTTGGCATAGTAGTCGACCATATTACCAGGTTAGGGTTTAGGGTTTAGGGTTTAGGGTTTAGGGTTTAGGGTTTAGGGTTTAGGGTTTTAGGGTTTAGGGTTTAGGGTTCTATGGGGCTTGCTTTATGCAAATGAAGGGTCATTCCAGGTCCTCCGGCGCGAGATGCCAAGCTAAGCTGGATGCCGCCCCCCAGAGTGGAGGCTTGAACCACAGTTACTTGGTTGCTGAGTTCATAAGCCCCCCCCCCCCCCCAAAAAAAGAAGTGTACACTTTCAGTTAAATAGGGGATTATGGTATCCCAAAAAGTGTAAAGTGTACTCACTCAGCTACTAAGGTTATGTGCGCACAGTTCGTGACATGGATTGCGGCGGGTAAGGGCTCTGTACATCTCAAAGCCGACTTTGTTGTTGAGCGGTCACTAAAGATACTTCCACGCTATAGATCATGCAGAAAAAGATACTGACACAAGTACGTCAGGAGGATTGGAACAAGCTTTGGTTCATGGCCCAAAGCTACAACTGGTTCAGATGCCAGCGCCGTGCTCCGGCCATTTTTCTGCAAACGAGTTGACCTGAGTCATCCTGACACTACGACATAGCAACGATCATGATGACACGCATTTGGACCTTCCGGGCGTCTGGACTGTACGCCATGGTGAGCACGTCCCCCAAACCGGGGGGCCCGCTTAGGCCGGCCGTGCCCTGCGACACGAAGACCAGGTACTTCTTGTTGGGATGATACGCCACCTCATAGGCAGAGCGACCGGTCTCGTGCCAAGCTTGCTCGCAGGCCGCCTGAATCTTCACCTCAAAAGGCCCAACGCTGATTTTTTGCGGCAGGAAGATGAGGTATTTTCACCACTAAGTTTGATTGGAAATTCGATGGAGGAGTTGTTTATGCAAGCAAAGTTGGCTCAAAAAAGCGGCAAACTCAGCTGGTTTCATGTCTTCTCTCCTACCTTCATGGGCCTGACTCTGCCAAGGGTTTAGGGTTTAGGGTCTAGGGTTTAGGGTTTAGGGTTTAGGGACTCTGCCAAGATTCCGCCATAGAGCCGGTGCTGTCATCCCACAGCGAGGACAAGGAGTCCTCCAGCCAGCTGGTGCCCTTGTCTCGGAAATGCTGCGGCACGTCACCGTAGACAGTGAACTTTGGTTGTCCTGAAACCCTAAACCCTAAACCTTAAATCCTGGAGCATTGGCTGAAGAGGGAACAGAAAAGTTGTTGATGATTGGCATGGGACTCCCAAGAACTGAGAGTATAGGCGTCTATATTCATAATACCTTCTTCTACTTCTTGTTCTACTTCTTATTCTTTTTTCTGAAAGCCACTTTGTGCCGACCATAACCTGCCACACCCTGCCACATCCCCTTCCCGGTGTCCTTCCATGGCCCCTTCGCCTTCCTCAAGCTTTTCCTTTTCCCTTACGGCATAGCAAGGGCTTACCACAGCGATCAAACAGACCAGGTAGAATCGCATGGCGCCAAAATGGAGAGGAAGCGGATTGCGCAAACTGCTCGGCTTGAACCACAGCATTGTGTTTTTGTTGGACATCTGAGGTTTTTGAATTCCTATATTGCGGAAGACATGATCAAGCAAACTCGGCTCTGGAATTAAGACCCGAAGCCCCCGAAATCCCTAAAAGCCCGAAACAACCTCAACCCCCCCACTCCCTAGCCCCCTAGCCCCCTAAACCCTAAACCCTAAACCCTAAAACCCTAAACAACAAACCCCCAAAACCCTAAACCCCGAAACCCTGCAAAGCTCCGGAGACCTAAAACCTGCTGGCCCTTAGTTAGGGAATGAGGGAATGAGGTGCCCAAGATCATCTCTTAAAGGTTTAGGGTTTAGGGTTAGGGTTTAGGGTTTAGGGTTTAGGGTTTAGGGTTTAGGGTTTAGGGTTTAGGGTTTAGGGTTTAGGGTTTAGGGTTTAGGGTGTATACTTGGAGGTTCATAGGTACTGAAAACCCCAATCATAAGTCTACGCATAACCTACCTAGAGGACTTAGGGGCTTTGTAAGTACAGCTTTCATTTAGGGTTATAAGTGCCCATGAACCTCCAAGTATGAAGCATGCAGGGAGATATATGACCCTAAACCCTAAACCTAAGCGCGAAAAGCTAAACCCTAAACCCTAACAAGAAACCAAGTGGGTCAACCACATACCAATATATACCCCTCTCTAAGTTATGGTCCGTTTTGGGGTTGCTATTATAAGGCAGCCCCTAATATTTAGGGTACCCAAACATGGGACCCGAATTTAGAGAACTGACCATATATACCCTCTAAAACGCAAGGGCCCCTAGGAACCCTTTCGAAGCCGCATTAAGGGACCATGCAACTACCGTTAGGAAAACATCCCGTCCGCGTGGCTAGCGGACCGGGACTTCGAGGGCTTGTACTTGTGGGTTGAGGATTTAGGGTTTTAAGGATTAGGGTTAGGGTTTAGGGTTTAGGGTTTAGGGTTTAGGGTTTAGGGTTTAGGGTTTAGGGTTTAGGGTTTAGGGTTTAGGGTTTAGGGTTTAGGGTTTAGGGTTTAGGGTTTAGGGTTTAGGGTTTAGGGTTTAGGGTTAGGGTTTAGGGTTTAGGGTTTAGGGCTTAGGCTTGTAAGGTTGAGGATTTAGCGTTTTAAGGTTCAGGGTTGTAAGGTTGAGGATTCAGGGTTTAAGGTTTAGGGCTTTCAGGTTTAGGGTTTAAGATGTAGGGCCGAAAAGGTAAAAAAAAAGGTTACCTGCTCAGCACCTAGGAAGCCTGAAACCCTAAAGCCTCAATGTCGCAACCCCTGATCCTCTGGTTTGCAGGGTAGGTTTGAAAATACTTTTCAAAATCCTATTGCCCTTAATCCCCATACAAGAACAAATGACGGTTGAGGGTTTAGGGTTTAGGGTTTAGGGTTTAGCGTTTAGGTTTAGTGTTTATAGGGCACCCAAACCTGCCGACGTTTAGGGGAACCTACTCAGCACGTAGTCATAAGCCCTAGGCCCAGCAACTTCAAACTTAGGGGACCTACCAAGCCTGAACCCTGAACCCTGAACCCTGAACCCTGAACCCTAAACCCTAAACCCTAAACCCTAAACCCTAAACCCTAAACCCTAAACCCTAAACCCTAAACCCTAAACCCTAGACCCTAGACCCTAAACCCAACCGAGGCATGGAACTCGGAGTTTGCAAGGGGCCTTGACCCTTACCAAATCCGGAGCCTAGAGCCTCAAGTCGAAAGTCCTAAACACTCACCTACACCCTCACCAACCCTGAACCCTGAACCCTGAACCCTAAAACCTAAACCCTAAACCCTAGCCCTAAACCTTAAACCCTAAACCCTAAACCCTAAACCCTAGCCCTAAACCCTAAACCCTAAACCCTACTATGGCCGGTGAAGCCCTGGCAATGCGAATGAACAGGGGCAAAATGCGGTGGCTGGGCTAACGGGGTTGTGGGTAAGGTAGTTAAGGCGTTTAGGGTCTAGAGATATGACCAAGGGCTGCAAAAGCTTCTTCAGAAAGGATGCAGTTGGGGCGCGGTCTTGGCTCACATTCCCACATTGAGTTCTTTCCCAAAAGGACACCCCCAAACGGGGGCCATAAATGTAGCGGGTGTGCGAGGGCCTTTCGTGTAACTTGGGTTGGAGCTCTTCTGGTGAGCAGGGCTGATTGGGGGTTTGAGGACTTCGAGTTTAGGGTTTCGGGTGTAGGGTGTAGTAGACCCAAGAGTAACCCTTTTTGGTTTCAAGGGCCTGAAAAGGGAACCGAAACCCTCAAAAAAAGGAATGAGGGCCCACTCTTGGTCCTAGTGGGTTTGGTGTGCAGGGTACAAAGCCTAAACCCTAAACCCTAAACCCTAAACCCTAAACCCTAAACCCCTTAAACCCTTAAACCCCCCCTCTTGCCCATGGCAGGCCTGCTTGAGGTCTTTAATCTGACGCTCATACTTCCTGCGACACAGGTTCCATGCCAAGGGTTTAGGGTTTAGGGTTTATAAGGTTTAGGGTTTATAAGGTTTAGGGTTTAGGGTTTAGGGTTTAGGGTTTAGGGTTTAGGGTTTAGGGTTTAGGGTTTAGGGTTTAGGGTTTAGGGTTTAGGGTTTAGGGTTTAGGGTAGAATGGCCTGCAACTAGCCCTTTTGGAGAAAAAGGGGGGGGAGTCGACAAAAAGGGGGGGGCTCTCTGATAGATTACTATCGGTATCCGACATAATAGTTTTATGAAACATGGTCTGGGAAGGGTTGGAAAACCTAAAACCGACGAAGATATTATTCTTCAAAACTCGAGAGTTATCAATAAAAAATCAGGTCAGTGTAACATTCTCAAGGGGGAAACAGGGTTTTTTAGGCTACCCCGAACTCTTGGGCCGAAGAAAAGGCCCAGGGGCCCAACCGGTTTAGGGTTTAGGGTTTCGGGTTTAGAGCTCCCCAGTTTCCGAGACTTCCTGGCTTTTGTTCAGAGGGCTACCGGGGCTTTACGGAGGATCGGGGTCTGGGGTTTGGGCTTTAGGGCTAAGGGTTTCAGGCATTGCTTGGAGGCTACTTACAAGTAGGCTGGGTTCTAGGAAGGGCCGACTCCCCCCCCTCCCCACCCCCACATAGCCCGAAACCCTCAAGCCCCAGAAGCCTTAGAAAAAGATATTCCCTGTTAGGTCCCTACCTGATTTACTTAATTTGGGTTTAGGGTTAGGGTTTAGGAAAGTTTAGGGTCTAAGTTGTTAAGAAGCCTCCCCCCCCGGCCCCCCCCCCCCCCCCCCGCCCCCCGCTCCCCCCCCCACGGCACCTGATGAGCAGCTGTGGATCGAGATGGATGTTTACGGAGGCTTCGTTC